TTTGTTTGAACATCAGAATTGGTCCAATAGATTGCATCAGATTGTACCTTGGAATCCATTTAATAATTTGAATCAGATTCATTTTTCAAATGATCAAAACTGTGCCAATCCACTATACGGTTGTGATGCTGGCTATTGTTGGTCTGAATGCGAGTCCGCATCACAAGTGCAATCGGATCCTGAAAGAAGCTCTTCTAGTACATCAAAATCGTCGAGCCGAACTTTTACTGGTTGCACTACTAATCAAGAGTGCGCTGAAAATAATCAAAGTGTAAATTTCAACTAATTTTAATCGTGTTAGACCTTTTAATGGTTATTAAAGAGTTTCTCATCTACAATGCAGTTTTTTTCGATCAAAACTGTCCATTCTAATTGTCAATATTTGATTGACGAGTTAATTTTTTTTCAATACTTTTATATGAAGAAATCAAGTTGAATACTTGTCACTTTTATATTAACCCTCTAGCTGGCAAGATCGAAAAAATGCGAATTTTTTATCATCAACATTTTCAATAAACACTTTTCTTGTGCAGTAAAAAGATGTAGATTGATAAAAAAAAGAACAACAAATAAATCAAAACTCAAGTAAACCATCGAGTTATTCTTTATTCCGATTTGACTCATGCTTGAACATTTTTTTTTTCTAAATCTTTTTTTTTTCAATCGATCAACTGCTTCATCTTAGTGATACATGTTTGATAACGCAATTGATGGAAAAATCTCGACGGAAGATTGCAACGAAAAAAATGCATTTCGAAAGGAGTTGTCAGATTACTTAGAAGAACCGTTTCAGTTTGTTTTGCTTTAAATTAATGTAATCTTGACAAATAAATCTAATCTTGTTTTTGGATTTCACAAATGATTATAAACCATATCCTCCCATTGCTTGATCTGAAATGTGTCAAGAACTGCAATATATACACAAACAAAGAATTTAATGAAGTCGATTGCATTCAAATCAAAGTGCATTCAAGTCTACATTAAAATATAAAATAAACAAAAATGTTTTTTCACACCAAAGTTCGTTGCTACATTTGTGTTGCCAATTTTATGCTTAGTTTTATTTTATTTAACAATACCTATGCAAAGCCATCCTCAAACGCAAAGCAAGGTGTTGAAATGGTCACACTGCCGATGAATGGAACAAACCGCCAACATTGTACGAACGGAAAATTTGATTGTAAAGATGGATGTTGTTGGGCCGAATGCAATGTTCGAATACAGAACACTACCCATCTGATAATGCGCAGCACTTACAAAAATTGTCACACTAACGTAGACTACGAGAGCTATTATCAACGATTTTTAGTTGGCATAAATTCATCTAAATCAGCAAGAGCACAAATTTTTAACGTTTATCGTCAAGATTGAAAACGCCCACTCAGAGCAGTCCAGATTGACGTCAGTTTCATTTGAATTCAATAGCAGACAAGTTCTAAAATGTTTTTCTACCGAAAATTCCTTTTTACACTCGTTGTGCTAGTTTTTTGCCTCGTTTCATTGAACGGTGTCAACGGAAAACCAAATTCGAGCACAGAAGAAGACGTCGAAACCGAAATTGGAGCGGTTGATCCATCGGTGAATGAAAATACGCAACCAATTTGTCCCAAACAATCGATAAAATATGGTTGTGAGAGTAAATATTGTTGGTCGCGGTGCGTGATGAAACAACCAAAATCGAGCTCAAAAGGAAGAAGTTCCAGTCCATTGTACTCAGAGTTCCGAACTTCAACTGGTTGCAATAGTGATCAACAGTGTCATAAGTGGGCGATGGGAGGATCATTTCGGCGCAATGATGATGATGATGATGATGAATTTTGAATCAAAATGTTGGCATTTTTTCGGCAATATTCGAAAAACGACAATTTATAATTTTACCACAAACGTTTTTAGTTCTAAAACTGTTAGTGTTCAATTAAAGTAAAATGTTGAATTTGTTATTTTAAATTGATGTGTTTCAATAATCATTTCATGCATTTGAACAAGAAAATTAGTGAAACGATAAAGGAATAAAAATAAAATAAACCGTCGACTTATTCCTTATCGGAAATTATTCTCGCTGCAACACTTACAATCGGTTCGCAGACTCATTTTAGTGATTGAATTCATTGTGTTTATTCACGGGCTAAGTGATAACCAATGCATAGCCCATAAATAGAAATCTCCACTGAAAGTTCCGAAGAAAAAGTGCATTACAAATCTATATACGGTTTGAATGGTTTCAATTTCTTCTTTTCGTCATGCACCGACACCGACAATTGTTCCTGATTTTGTCCTTAGATTTTCTTTTCAATTTTGAACCATTTTTTATCACCGCTTGATCTAGCAGTATGTCAAAAAATGCAATATAAATATGCCCGCGAAAGTAAACCAAAATCGGTTGCATCCAAGCCTACAATCAATCATAAAGTAAACGAATATATTGTCCAAGCCGAAATTCGTTTTTGCAATTGTTGTGCTAGTTCTTTTTGCCTAGTTTCATTCAATGAAATGATACAAATACAAAATCAATTATTTAAAAACCGAATTATGATTAATCTCTATCGACTTGATGCTTGCTGCAACGCCTCTTTTATATTCCAATCAGTTTACTGATTCATTTAATTCAAGTTAAATAAATGTTCAAAGTATCATTAGCTCTGTTCGACTGTAGCCTAAAGATTGTACTATCTCCCGTTCTATATTTGAATATGTTATTGCGATAGCTGATGCACAGAGACAGATGAATGAGCCAAGTCTGTTTCCAGCGAATGTTAATCATGAAAATGACTTCGACCAGTGCGTTTGTTTTATTGTTGCTGTTCATCGGTTTTAGCGATTGTGCATTTAATTACAAAACTTTGGATTGGCTATTCGGTTCGGACGAAAGTTTCAATATCTACGGAGGTTCTAATCAAAATTCCGATGAAAATGATGGATATTCGAGCTTTGCTATGAATAAAAGACATCCACCATGTTCTGCTCAAGCTGGTTGTAACATGGGAGTTTGTTGGAAAAGATGTGCAAAGGATACAATGCATACATATGGTTCTAGATGTTAAACAATTGATGTTCCGAGCTCACCTGAAATCACAACAAAGTGTAAAAGAAATTCGGACTGTAATCCATGCTGGCCGTGTGACAAAGGAAACATTTGTGCATTTTTATCGAGAAATTTATCGAGAACTAACTATTAAAACAGTACTAGGAATGAAAGTAATTGGTAATTTGAGTGAAATTAACGTAATCAAGTGGATACGAAAAGATGGGAAATTTTTGATGGAAAAAATTAAAAATTCGTTTCTTCGTTAAGAAAAAAACAATCCAAAAATTGATAGTGTCATGAAAAAGTAAAAGAAAAGTCGAAGATAAAATAATAGTCAAAGTACAATAAAAATCCAAACATCTAAAAGAAAACGTCAAGCTTCACTCATATCTTCTTGGTTTATTATTTTGTGTTCACCACAGTAAAAGGTACTAATTAACCGTTGAAACTGTGTGTTCTGCTTGCTTAATGTCATTCTTCTTCTGATTGAATTGTAATGAATCCACAATTAGATCAACATCCACTACTATGACATGACAAACATTTGGAATGCTACAACATTGACGGAACAGCCAAAGGGAATATAAATTGAAAAGCAGTAAAAATTGAGACGCAATTAAATCAATATCTTGAAAATGTTGACGCAATGAACTTTGATTACATTGTCATTTTCAGTTCAATTCTTATCAATACGACTTTATATGCAACATTGAAGGCAATTTGACTGCATCGTTATTGTGCGCACATCTCGTTCGATTTCATTTTAATGCGTACTTATTTCTACGTTTACTTTATTTAGCAAACTGATGGCGAGAACTAAAAAAGTATTTATATACACAAAAAAACGTTTATGGCTGGAACTTTCAACGTTCCGAACAGAAAGGCGAAACGTTATCTTATTTTGCACCAATCAAATCGATGAATATTTCAATAAAAAGTTGTTTTTCTTAGTTTTTCAAGTCGAATTTTTTTATTTCCTTTTTTTTCATTCAAATCTTTTTATTCCTTAAATTTCAATCTAGGGGCTTCACGCACTCAAAAAATGATTCAAAAACAACAAGTATTTATTCTATTGACGTATAATCCGGTAAAATCCATTCTTGCACGCTGAAACTCACATGAATTCACGAAAACTCTCACATTTGAATTGAATGAATATTGAGGAGTTTGGTGAATTTTGGTGAATTTTGGTGAATTTTGGTGAATTTTGGTGAATTTATGTGAGTAGAAAAAATTACAAGAATTTGTATTACCGACCCTTTTCATTGCTAAACACTAGGTTCGACACTTAGTTTGACAGCTAAGTTGGCAAGACTGTGAAATCTAATTTATCGACAAATTCACTAGAATTCACCAAAATTTATTTGTATCGTTTCAAATTCATAACAATCGTTAAAACTTATTACTATTTATTTATCACTACACAAATTCAATGGTTGAAAATTTTGCGTGAAGCCCCTAGATTTCAATAGCGAATACTAGGATTTTTGATATGTTCTAACCATCGTAAGTGATGCAATACTTTTTTCAGTGTTGTCTTAATTCGGCATGGTCCGCCGCAATGTAGCCCAGTGTCACAGTCCGAATCGTTGGTGCATGGCACAAAATCGTAGCTGTCTGCATATGTTTTGGTTGTGAAACACCATTTACCGTCATCGATGCCATCGCACCATTTCCAACAATGGCCTTTGTTACACCCCGCATAATTATTGCGTTTCGATGATGTTTGCTTTGCTGTCAATATTGTTTCAGGAAAATCACCAATTCCAACATCGTTACTGTTTGGCTCGTCGGCTGCATTCGAATTGCCAGTGACAGGATTCATAAGGCCACAGCTCACTATCAACACCAGGAATGCAAACAAAATTTTCGCTTGAATGGCCATCTCGTTGAGTAAATTTGATGAAACTGCCGTCGATACGGCCGTGCATCGTATTATTTATATTAGATGTCATTTGCTCATATCACCGGATACGTTCCGGTAATTCCGATGGATTGTTATTATTTGGGAAAACCAATGTCAACAATCAACACGATCAAACGGTTCCCGATTCGCCGACACATCGTTGGGTGCTGATAAAAACCATTCAGACGTACTTGTAACAAAAAGAATTCGTTGAGAAACAAAAAATATTATCAACAAGCACTCTCATGGCTCACAACATGTGCAAATCGTTCATAATGCGTACGGTTTTTTTTCCTTGGATATTTTTGTTTTTTGCTGCATTGAAAACAAACAGAAAAAGTGACAGCAAGCAATAACAAATACGCGTTAAAATTTGTAGTTTCCGGAGCAGATAACCGATTTGTTTACTGTTATTTTCCAGAGTTAGTTCAAAGTTATTTGAAGAAGAAAGAGAGAATTTCAATTTAGGGGAGAGTAAAGAGGTTATTCGTTCGAAAAATCCTAGCGCATGTAAATGTATTTGCATGTGTGCGTGTTTCATCCTTAGATGCCATCCATCTCACCTTTGATGCACCGCAAAAAATTGTTTTCGATTTGCTTGTTTATGATGGTCGTGGTTAGATTCGAACTGCCAAATTCTGTTGTCGCATCTGTCGATAAATTTAACGTGGTGTTGCAATTTGGGTCCAATTTTTTGCTCGTCTACTTTCACTTGTGATAGAGCGCTCATAAATAAAATATGTGATTGCATTGAACCAATACGCTGAGATTGCAGCGCAACAAGACACATAAATCGAAATGGAAATCAAATCATTGTAGAAGTATTGACACAAACAATCATCGTGTTGTTCGATGAGATCATTGACATACGTTCGGTTGGGAAACCAGTGAGAGAGAAAGAGAGACGAAAAAAAAAAATCGTTATTGGCATTGGCATTTGGTGTAGATTAAATGCAATATGTACTCTGTCTAGTCGATGTTTTGATTTGGCGTTGGTATCGATTACCTACGCCAGCCGCATCGACTTTGAAATTCGGTATGGTTGAATATCAAATTTCAAGTGCCAGGTAAAATGACACGTCTGTTGAAAGGCGCCCCCGAAAAAAATATTGATAACGGTTTAAACACATATGTTTTGCGCTTGACATTTTATACTGTTGTGCCTGGGTAAAGATGAAAGCAAGGAGAAGAAAAAAATTTGGCAGAGGAGCATCGACCTAGTACAGAATTTATCGCAAATTCTACGTACTCTGGCGATTCATTGATATTGCATTTGGCAGTTATATGTTTGAAACGATTTTCCTTTCGTCGAACAAAAAACAATCTTTGGAATGGAAAAGAAGAGGATGAAAAAAGTGGCTCAAATCACTGCAAATAAGTGCTTTTCAAAGACAATTTATTTATCGATGTGCCGACGACGGTGGAATAAGTGTGAATTTCTTCTTTTCTCATACCAATCAGAACATTCTCGTCCAATAGATTGGGAACTCGACCGTTGAATATGGTAGAGAAGAGAGAAAAAAAAAACGAAAAATCATTGGTGCGTATAACAGATTCAATAAAGTTCATGTCGATTCTTTTGATATGTTACAGAGAGCCCTCCATGTCCGTGCATTCATCAAGATAATAAGCTTAAGCCTCAACGAAGACGACCATGAAACACGGTCAAGTTTCACTTCTCTCTTATTCATACTCCAAAGATTAGAAATATGTGAAAAATAAGTCGAAGCAGAAGAAGAAAAAAATGTTTGGAAATAAGCTGCAATTATTCGGAGTGTTTTAAAATGTGAAGAATCTCTTAAAGGCAATCTCACTCATGAATTGAGTTTAGCATAATTGCCGATACAAGTGTATGGCAGCTAAAGCATTTTCGTACATTTCATTCTCGATTAGCAAGTGAATTAAGTTTAGCTCAAGTCGGAGAATAAAATGTGCGACTTGAAGTGTAGCATCAACAATTGCTGTTCACTCTCTAGTATTCACCAAGTGTGCTTCACTTGAAAACTGTATATTGTTTGTATAATTCTAAGATTCAAGCCCGCGTACAATCAAAGCTAAAGAAAGGAAAAAAGTTTTTTCTCTCTAGTCTCTAATATTTTTTTAAAATATCATCAACAGCAACAGTGTGAGTATAGCGTGCAGAGCAATTTATTTTGATTTGCTTAAAATAATTCCGCATGTATGCCACACGCATAAAGTTGCGTTAAATTGCCAGTCGTTGAGGCAATTTGTGCAATGCGCTTGCTGAAACACACCAACTCACACGCAGAACAATCACATCTGATGCTCTCTTGCATGAATGTTGACGCTCAAACACAAAAAGTGGCGTGAGATGTTGAGAACCATTGAGTGCGTGAACAAGAATCATGGTTTTGAAAAATGAAAAAACACACGCGCGCGTATGCTGTGTGCTTGCTCGGCCGAAAGACATTTAAAATGTTATGTGCGTTTGCTGTGTGAATTTATTGTTATTAAAACCATTATACTACAGTTGAATTGAGGATCGTTGCTACAAATTCCACTTGTATGTAGAAACGTTTGGTATTTATTGGTGCGCGTTCGCATGTTCAAATGTATAACACATTTTATGAGGCCTGGTCGCGTCTGTCTGGAAAATTTTCATCGTGCGCTCAAGTGCGAGACAGAAACAGGGTTGACGAAACTTTAGAGACGCTTTTGCTACACGCACGATTATCATCCGCACGATTTTCTTCCAACACCATTCAAGACACACATCACACAGCTCAACACATCACACGAAGTCAAAGTCCCACCCAATTTTTGCCATTCATTCGGCGAGTTTATCTCCCGAAAAAATGCACGCCAAATAAACCGACGCATAAATGCCCCCCAGACTATATTCACAAAAGCTAATCTTATCGTGTCTTCAAGACAGTTCACCGTCTTTTTTCGAATTAAGCTGACTGCCAACATATAGATTTTTCGAAACATTTTCATGAAGGCTATTCTTGGGTGGAGAAAATTCCAGTGTTACGACAAATGTTTGAAGTTTCATGAAGAAAAAAACTCTCTTTTATCCATTATTCGTTTGATTTTTTTAATCTCCTTCGTCTCTTATTATTCTAAACAATGTGATTTGTGTGTCTACGTCTAGGATGCTCCACATTTTCAACCTATTTGCACGGCCCGCCGCAGTGCCAGCACTTGTCACAGTCTGAATGCGTTGTACACAAAGCAAAATCATAGCTTTGTGCATGTGTTTTCATTGTAAAACACCATTTACTACTATCTGCACTGTCGCACCATTTCCAACAACGGCCTTTGTTACAGCCCGTATAATTACTGCATTTCGGTGGTAGCTTTGATTCGGCTGTCAATGTTGTTTTATCCGCGTCTACTATTTCAACATCTATTGTATTTGACTGAATATCCTCCACTGTACTCGGTTTCCCACTAACTGCATGCAATGCGATGCAACACACAATTAACGCCAGGAACGCAAATACTGTTTCCGATTGAATTGACATCACGTTAAATCGTTTCGGTGCGAATTATTTTCAATTCTGTACATCACACGGGTATTTATATGCAAGTCTCGTGTAACTAAGTGGACACTTTTCCAGGAATTGCAATGATTACATTTCTTTGGAAATACCAACGTCAACAGTCAGCTCAATCAACGGCGTCATTACTTATCACTTCATTAAATAAACATTGGTTTTACTCGGAATAATTGGTTTTACGGTTATCAAGAGGCGAATATCGGAACAGTGCGAATGTGCATGGCTGTGACGTTTGACTTGGATTTTTTTAGTAAAGATTTGAAATGCGTCAAACATTGAGTTTTCAATGTTTTTTTTTATCCAAGTAGAAGACGTAAAATGTGCGAAATCTATTTTCTTACCAATTCTAACGAGATGACGATGATTTGAAAATCCTGTAGGAAGGCCATCTTTAGCAAGTAACTGATTTTTCAAATAGAACGAAACACGTAAATAATTATGATTACGATTTAGCTTGTTACAAAGGGTTGACCGAGTGCACAATGATACTAGAAAAAAAGAATTAAAAAAAAAACAAACAAAAATGAAA